TGCAAATGTAAGGGTCTTCTGTGCAGTCTGGTCTCAACTCAGTGAAATTGACTTCAGTGAAAACTAACTGGAGACATTTTTCTCAAAACTCATTAGTTTGTTCAGCAAATATTTAATAAGCACTCAATCAGTGAGAGCTCCTTCCATCAAAAGTGACAGAAAAATCCAGCCCAAATTAGCTAAAGCAAAAAGAAGCTTTTGCCATCGGAAATTTTGACATTGACTGGATGTTTGACGATGTAAGAAACAGTGTTAGTTTTCTTGGTGGGCTGTCCTGATGGGCTCAGCCTGTTTGATAAGCTCTGTCCCTCACTTCAAGGACTTAGCTCCACAGCACTGGCCGGGAGCCCAGGAGGCACGATTGGTGGTGGGGACAAAAAAAAATAAACATACGTCACCTCTATGTGCCAGGTTCTATGCTGGTCAAAGCATATTTCCTTCCCATCAGGAAGCTCCCCAATCATCAAAATATTATTTTCATGTTCATCAGTTCCCTTTCCACCTTGAACTGTGTAGGTTTGGTATAGCAATTATCCTCCTCAAATAAGAAGCATGTATTGTAAACAGTCTATGCCTCTCATGCTGAATTTCACGCACAGGTCACGAGGCCTCACACCAATTAGCCCATATCGTAAACTGAGGTACGGCAGGGCGGGCGCTGACCCTAAACGAGCCCCCACGTGTTTCTCTGAGGAACGGCTAGAGAGAGTTGGGTGCCTTCTGAAGGGTGTGGGTATTTTAGAACAAATGCCCTCAAAGGTACCTTTGTGGATCACAGCCTTAGTATACCTTTTTTGTAAGGCACTGACATGATAATAACAATGGGGCCAGCAGGTGTCAGGGAGGTTAAGATGTCTGGATCCCACATGGTTGACTTCATGGTTCGAGTCCCAGATCTGGAAGCTTGAAGGGTCGTGCTGGGTGCGTGTGCGTTATGACAATATCCATGACTGCTATTAGGGATGGGGTCACAGGTTCTGTTAATACTTCTGTGCATGGTTATCTCATGCCCAAAATTCCAAGAGGAGACTGGAGGAGAAGGGATTGTGATATGGCCATCCCTCCAGGGACGATTTCTCACTTTCCCCTTCCATCTCCCTCTGTCAAGCGCACAAATAACAATAACAGCAGTAATGGTACTGACTCAGTGCCACGTGCCGTTCTCAATGCTGTTCACTCATCTGACCCTCACAGCGCCGCCGTGAGGTCGGATTGTGCCGTTTTACAGATGAAAATCACGAACTGCACCGTAAACAATATTTGGTTATTACAGTCTTTTGCTCCCTGCTATCTCTTCACTTGGGTCTTCCTGTTCAACTCCCTTAAGTGTCCTGTTGGTTAAGCAGGAAGGAAAAGTCTCATGAAGAATATTGATGGGGCTGGCTCTGTGGCCTGGCCATTAAGGCAGTTGGATTCCATGACTGTGTGGTTTGAGTTCTGGACCTGGAGGCTTAAAGAAAATACCCCAGGCATGTGTGTGTGTGTGTGTGTGCACCCCAAATCCCCAAAGGAGGGAGGAATGGAGGAAAAGAGGTGGCAGTATGATGATTCCTAGAGAAGGGGGACTCTCGTTCTCTCTCTCTCTCTGGTAGGCACACGTGCTCTGTGGAAACACTTTTTTTTCAATGTTGAAAAGTTCCCCACTGATAACTATTGGAGGGACAGATACTAGCGTGTTCCTGGGCTCTCAGGCAAACCATTCCTGGGCGGGTTATAGGAAACCGATGGTCAGGGTTGGCTCTGTTTTCCCAGACCTTCTTTCTTGCGTTGGAAGTCTGCAGAAATACCTGGTAGCTTTCGAATCATTCGGTGCTTGGGTTCAAAGCTAGGCTTAGAAAATGCTGTATGATTTTTGGATGCATGTGTCAATTTCCTACTTCTTACTGGAGCTTTTTATTTTCTTCTGTAAATGCATAATAACAGTACCTATGCCGTCGTGGGGTTATTGAGAGGATTAAATGAGACATTATGCTAAAGGGTTTAGCCTGGTTGGTTTGGAAGTGGTTGCTCTTGATAAAAGAAGAGTGATGTTTTCTGTGGCTGAAACGGTTGAGACTGGACTTGGCAAACACAAGAGAAAATGGTCAGCAGGA